TTTTAGCTTAAAAGAGATCACGGACAGCACAGAATAAGCATTGCCGTATTGCAATAATATGCTGAAATTTGACCATCAAATTCTAATGCACATGAAATATTACTCTTTTACTATTTTTTCCTAACCATCAAAAAAATGGAAAAACTATTCTTAGCTTGTACCCATATAAAATAGGGCAACAGTTTGCTAACAGCCTCGGATGATAGCTAATTCAGTTGTGTAAAAACCTGCAGGGCCTGACATGTAGGAGGTGGTCTACAATGCGTATTTTTTTTTTTAATAATGTGTATGCAATACACAAGGTGGTCCAGGACAAGGGGAAACGGATGTCTGAGAAACTCAGTTCTTGGACAAACACTAGTAACATAGGTAAGTGAGTAACTCTAACCATTTAAAATTGTGTGACCTTGGACAAGTTTTCACCACTTTGTGCCTCAATTGCCTCAGTTACAAGATAAAGATTAGGGCTGGTGTGACCATTAAATGTATGAGGTATACATGCACTTAGTATGAGCAATATACATACTTGTTAAATTTTTAAAAATTGTTTGAGCTTCAATGTGTTCACTTTGGAATGCAGAGGATTGAAAGAAATAGTAAATAATGAGCACATTTTTTCTTTTTTTAAAATCATAGCTTTGAAGCAGGTGCTATTGGCACATTTTACAACACAAACTGTGGGTCAAAAGAGCAACTATAACTGCCTCAAGATGACAAAGTAAATATCAGAACTAAGTCTAACTCCAAGTTTGTAATATCTATCCTGTATACATGCCTCTTAGGATTGACTCCTATTGGAGACTGTTGTGATTCTTAAGGGACAGCACATATATAAATTTACTCTGTAAGTTGGAAAGTAGTATAGTTACAACATATGAACCAGAGGATCTTCCACACTGTGCTCTAGGTTTAATTTTAGGTTTCAAAGATTTAAGAATGACTGAAAACAGAATTTCCCAAGGGGACCTGCTTAAAGGGAAAAATTCACCAAAGTCTTTGACTTTTTAAATTCTTCTTTAACCAAAGTGAAAAAGAATGATTTTTATGACTTCCTGTAGAGCAGGTTAACAATTGACATCAGACTCTTTTGGAAATTTCAATCACAGTATGAATTCTGCTGCTTATAACAACTAATTATCATGTAATATTTCTGGATCAAAGACATTTTAGAGGAAGTAAATTTACAGTCTTCAAAGGGCATCATAGCATGTACCTTAGGAGGACATTTTAATGTGTACTAAATGCAAATGAGGTATTATTTTTGGAATGTTTACAATTTTCAACTTTTATCAACAAGTTTGCCCCAGATGGCTTTACTCTTTTAGAATTCTGTCCCCAAATCTGTATCAACCAACAATCCCTTCTTGTATCTAAAGCTTCTTTGTCAGCAACTGATATAAACAAGAACTTGAAGTTTCAAGGCTACGGATAGGATTTTTAAGTAAGAAATATCCTTAGAATACTGAGGATTAAATAAATGAGCACATTAAAGAGCACATGTAATCACAGCTTGGCAATAGACAGGCTACACAGGTAAACACAAGAGTGTCTGCTATTCATCCCAAGGGAAAATGAAAACCCATCTGAGGATTTCATGCACGAGTCAAGATTGCTAGTGAGCTAGACTGAAGTGTTTAAGAGGCAGAATCAGGACTTAGCAGATAATCAGACATGAGGATGAGACAGAAGGTATTCTAGTACTCTCTCCTTCACAGCACACTTAACTCTTGAGATTAGTTGTAGCCATGTAACTTTTTCAGGCTAGTGAAGAGAGAGATTATTCACTTTAAAAGCTGGCATACAATTCTCCATGGAATCAAGTACAAGACTGGCTCTATCAGTCTGGATCTCACATAAAACTACCATAAAAACAGAGGATGCCTCAGACCTTCTTCTCTCAACCGATTGACCTGGCCTTCTGTCAAGCCGAATAAATGAAACATTGCTTTTTGGCACACTGAGATTTGATGGTCGTTACTGCAGCATAATTTAGCCTATCCTGACAAATGAATAAGAAAGCAATGTTATCTAAGACGTGTTTTTGGAGAATAACAGTACTTAAAACACAGCGTTTTGTTGTCAATGGGCACCAAGATCTGTAGATACAAAATCTCATTTTAAAAATTTAGAAAAACAAAAAAGCCTTGCCTACGTCCTTGAAGAAATGAAGGATGCATTTTTAAAGAGAAAATAGATTAAAATGTGTTCTTGAGAAAGTATATTTTTTATGGTTTAAGAATTAGTACTATAAAGTGGTAGGGCTTTATTTTCTATTTTGAGAATTTCCAAAGTGAAGTTATCAGTTTGATTACCCATCTCTAGCATACATATGAGAAGGTAAGAGTTAAGAATAAATAAGCAAGGAAGTCCTTTCCTGTCTTCTGTATAGTCATCTTTTATAATCAGCCCCTGCCTCTAAGACATAACTACCTCCAATCAATAATAATGACAACTAATAATTATCAAGAAGCGACTCTTAGTCATAAGCTTATTTAATACTTATGCCTACTGCATTTTATATATAAGGAAATGAAGACAGTCACACCAAATTGGGACTAATCAAGGATATTTCCAAAGCCTGTGCTTCTCATGATCATGATACCTAACTTCCTTTTTTTTTTATATAAACCCAGATAAATTATCTTAATGACGGATATTGAGAAAAATGAATTATAACTGGAATTATAACCAAAAAAGACAATTTCAAAGACAGGAAATATATAATATATATACAAATATATAATAAGACAAATATGCCTGGAAAGGGGCCACTGTGGGCTGCTAGAGGGTATGAAGTAGAGTGCGAAAATGAAGCAGAGGCGCAGAAGGGAAAGTCTGACTAAAGCTAACATCTGCCTAAACTTTTTTCTTTCCTCTCACACGTCCCAGGTGAATTCAGAAGACTGTTTTAGTTGGAAGGGCTCCTTCTATAAGCAAACAGTTCAAAATAACAAGATGCACAAGCATAACAGAGTGTATCCTGTGGACTCACCAACACCCTGCTAATGGCTCTAAGAATTTCACAGTAAGATGAATGGTATCAGCAGATTCTAGACTCAATTCTCAGGTCTGTCACTTGGTAGCTGAATGACTCTGTAGAATTGCCTCAATAGTTGGGTCTCCATTTCTTTCTCAGGAAAATGGTGACAATAATAACAATTTCAATAGATCATCTTACTTTTTTTCCTTCTTTTTGTCCAGACTCCAAAAAGCCAAATTGAAAGTTGGCCTTTGTTGAGCTTGGTTTCAACTATCTGTACATGAATGCCTTAAATTATTTCCAAGTACAAAATGCAATATCTTATGTATTTCATATGTAAAAGCTATTATCAAAAAGAAGAATCTACCATATTATCAAGTAATAAATATATAATGAGTGTCTCCTGTATACTCATGACTGCACTAGGCACTGAGTATACAATGAGGAAATAACACCATGGGTTGGGACCCTATGATCAGACCACAGTTCAAAGTTTGACTCTACCATTTATTTACTACGGAGTCGACCTTGGGTAAAAACTACCAACCGTCAACATCAAAAGCCAACATGTGACTATGCTAAGCCAGGCTCTGTTACATACATTCACTTTAGTAATCTTCTCAGCGTCCTTATGAAGTTGGTACCACTCCATTCCCACCTTAAGCAGGGAGAATCTGCAACTTGACCAAGGTCACCAGCTTCTAAAACAGCAGGACTCTAGAGCACTAGTAGCAGAGAACAGTGTGTATGGGCACAATCAGCAAGGCTGGTGTAAGGGCTAGAAATAATATGTGGAATGGGCCTAGCATAGCAGTTAGCAGAGAGTAGGTGGATAAGGAAAGGCACAACCATACAAGTTATACTGGAAGACAAATCAATCAGAAGCAATCCACACAGTTCCTTAGTCCCAGCCTCTTTTTCAAGTCCTAGGGCAACTGGTCTATTATTACGCAAGGTTGAATCACAGTTCATGCTTATATTTCATACTACACAGGACTGTGAAAAGATAAAAATTTAAGGCTGAGACCATTCCAAATTACTGTGATATCTCTCTAGTTCAAGAGTTTTAAGTTCAACGGTTATGTTCCTGAGGCTCTCTATAGGAAGTCTGTAGTTTAAAAATCTTTGAAATTGAGAAAGTCATCTAGCTTAACCACCTTCACTACATAAAAGAGAAAAATGAAGATATGTTTCATAATTTGTTCCAAAGTCACAAGCTTTGCAAAGGTCAGGTTCCTTTCCTCCAACTGAATTATCTGCTCACTAGTAGTGTTTCTATACTAAAGCAGCTGCACAGTGACGTACACTAGAGAAACTTAGGTAGAATAAGTAGAGCTAGCACATGAAAGTGCAGAAAAGAGTCTATAGGGTGGGCATTAACAAGCAAAATACATGCTCACAAGTCAAAAGGTTGTCTGTCTGTTCTATTTTGTTTACCACACAATGGTTTCAAAATAAAGTCCCTCCAAAGAAAAGAGAAGGATTCTCTTTCTATCTTATTATAGCGAATGGGGAAAAAAAGGCCTGTTACAAACTTAAGAAACTCCAAAAGCTGGGCTCTACAACTATCTCTTCCATTTTTGATGCATCCTTCAGCTCCATGTTGCTTAAACTTGAGTCAAAGCTTTGGATACCTTACTGCAGGCAAGACAGAAAGCTAGGGATGTGAAGTCATACTCCCCAGCTGCTGCCAAAGCTGCTACAGGAATACAATGACAAATGTTAAAGATGAACATTTCCATTCATGCGTCCCCTAACGTAAAAATCGCCCCTTTTAAAATCATATCTAATATCAAAAAGTTTTTTTTTACCAGATCTCCTATTTAGAACTCGCAGCAGATATGTGTCTTATCTGAAGAATGAATTTCTCCGAATATTAAGGAAACTAACTATAATTCATTCCCATTGTCAATGTCACTGCTCTCAAAGTACTTTTACCTGTTGTAGCGCCCTCCCTCGGTGATCCGAAGATATCACAAAAAAGGACTTGGTGAAGGGTTGGGGGGGGTCCCTCACTCACCGAAAACACGGCATTCTGAAGCCCAAAAGGTATGGGGGTCAGTCTGGCCAGCGCCACCACCTTCAGGCCGCTTCCTCCCTCCACGACGCGAATGACGGCGCTCAGTTTGTCGTTGCTTTGGATCCTGGAGGCCACCCAGTCGGTGAGCAGCCGCTTGCAGACCACATGGGCGATGAAGGTGCCGATGAGGACGCCCACCACCATCAGACCCATTCCCAGCACGAAGCCATACAGGTAGCCGGCGGCGACGTTGAGCACGATGTAGCCCCAGCCGCAGGGGAACGAGACCACGATGAAGCCCACGACGAAGAGCAAGACGCCAAACAGCGAGTCGAGGCTCTCCACCCAGAGCAAGAGATGCTGCAGGTAGCGGCGGACCAGGGCCAGGGAAGCGAAGCACAGGGCGGCCAGCGCGCACACCAGCACGACGCTCCGGCACCAACAGGTGCTGCCGAGGCAGCAGCAACGCCAGCTTCTCACCTCCGCCACCCCGACCACCACGCCGCCGCCCCCGGGGCCGTCTGCCAACGTCCCGTCCGGCGCCGGCGACTCGGAGGCCGCCGGCGGACCGTGGCGCTCCAGATAGGCACTGAGCAGGGCGCCCGAGGCCGCCGCAGCCGCGGCGCTCGCTCCGCCCCTGAGGCCGCCTCCGGCCCCGCCCCCGGCTCCTCCTCCCGCCCGCGGCTGGGCCCAGCAAACAGGCGTTTCCGCGCGGCCCGAGCGCGCGGCGTGCTGCAAGAGCCCGGACAACTCCTGGAGCAGGCTCCCGCCGGGGATCCACATGCCTCGCTGCGGCGCCGGCCCTCAGCCAGCTGACCCCTCTGCAGGGTGGCAGCGTTCCATGGCGCCTGGCATCGACTCCCTGCGGTTGCTCAGGAGGCGGGAGACAGCCAGTCCGGGGAAGGTCTAACAGCCCGCGATGGGGACGGAGGAAACTCCAGACCCCGCGCCGACCGAGCCCTCCCCTTTCACCCGCTACGGGGGCGGGGCCTCGATGCGCGGGGCGGGGCGAGCGGCGTCGGACCCCGCCCCCGTGACGCACAGCCCCGGGAAGGATAGGCGGGACACGGCGCGCGCCAGGGCGAGCGCGTGCTTGCGTGTCAAGACGCGCGCTCCCCCCCTGGTGCCCCGCGACCCGGGTCCGTGGGCGGCTGCTGGGAACCTCCGGGGTTCCTCGGGTGGTTTTCGCAGTAACCTCAGCGTGAAGCTGGCAGCTCGGGGGCGCTCACGTCCGTAACCGGCTTGGCTACGTTAGGGGAGGAAAAATAGTTCCAAGGAGGAGGGGCCGATCGTCCTCCAGCACATCTTCCGCCTTGGATTGGCCTCCGCAGGTAGCGAGGTACCCCAGGCGCTATCGGATAAGTCGGTCGTTAAGGGAGCCAGCGAAATTGGGTGTAAAGTGCCACTTTTGAGGAAGTGTCCCTTTTCACTCCAGAGGTCTTTTAATGCCAGGCGCTGAACTGGGAACACTGGAAAAGGTTCTCCAGGGGAGTTTCCTAGGACTCCTGCGGTCTCGTCTCTTAGCCTTGCCTCTTTTCACCCCTTTAGTATTAGTTTTCTTCAGGCCCTAGGAGCAGCTGGTAGACACGTCCAGGTGGAGTGTCAGGTACCTCACACTCACCATGATATGATAAATACCAGCTTAAGTTTTGGTGGAAAAGATGTTTAGTAACTGTACCTGATAAAGTCATTAATCTCCGAATCACAGTATTTCTTTCTAAGCTGCAAAATGAAGAGTACAACATTACCTCATAGAGTTGTTGAAGATTAAATAAAATTGCACACTAAGGCAATTGGCATACTTCCTGAAACCGTTGTTCAATAAACGTTAGCTGTGCTGTGGTATCCGTAATCAAAAATATCATCTCTCACAGACTTGGTCTTCCTTTTGAGTTTCTTATCCCAACAGGAAAGCTGATGCCCTATTGCCTGCCAAATAATGACCAGGACGCTTGGGGTTGCTGGTCTCATCGGGTGCCTGCTTGCTCCTTTATGCTGTTCCCCCACAACCCTCGTCCCTTACACCAGATGTAGCTGAGTCAGCAAAAGTTTCTCTCATCATTTAGCCGAAGTTCATTTCCTCTCTACTAAAAGCAACCCACTTCCCCGCTATCGTCTCATAACTATCATACCCAATTTGGTATTTCCTTTCCTCTCCCAGGGTACTTTCTGTATAGCTACTCCACATTTGTCCTGTTGTCTATCAGTTTTTAATTTACCTCTTTAGATTTGAATTTCTTCAAAGTGGGCCCCTTGGTTATTTAAAAAACAATGTTTGCTTGACTTACAGAATTTTGCATGTCTATAGTTGAAGAAAGAGGCAGAAAAATCAGACAAAAACTGATAGAATTGCCTGAGCAAGAATCTATGAAGAGGGTAAGAATCTTGAATTTAGTAACATGGAGAAATGTCAATGAATTTGATGACTGATTAGGTGTTAGAAGGATAAGAAGTGAAGGACAGTCTGAATTTCTTATTTGAGATAGTGGATAGATAGAGGAGCCATCAACCAAGAGAGAATACAAAAATTGTCAGAAAGGTGAAAGAGTCCATCTTGATACAAGAGCTTTGAGATGTCTTTGCTGCCTTGCAAATGCTGTGTTCCAGTAGATGGTTGAAAATATAGATACAGGGTTAAAATGGGGCTTCCTTTCTAGGAATTTTGACATTGACCTACAGGCTGCAGTTAAAACCATGGTCTGGGATGAGTGAATAGTGGTAGGAGTGCCAAATGCTTGCCATTTTCTTTCATGTGCATGGCATAGTTCAGTATCCTGATCTCTTTATGTTTGGATTGAGCTACATGATGTTCTACCAGTGAATTGTGAGCACAGCATTTAACTGCTGCTGAAATACCCTCCAGAACACGTTTCATCTTTGCCATGATGATCAACAGTGTTCCATTGAGTATATGCTTTCTCAGTCTTGGGTCTTGAATGAGAAAGAATGCAAAATAAAGTCCTAAAAACCTCACAATGAACTTGTGAGGTGAGAAGAAAACTCTGGTTGTTTCTAGCCACTGATATTTGAGCGTTCTATTACCATAATAGATCTTTGTCACTCTCAACTGATGTGAATGAAAAGAGGTCTAAAAGGGAAGTGTTGGAACAGTAATATGCTTGCTAGACTATTATACATGTAAGGAGAAACTCACAGTCTGCCTTAATGAGAAGGAGGGGCAAGAATATTTATTGCAGTAGCTATTAGAACCCAGCTGCTCTTTTTTTCTTTCTCATTGTTTCTCTGTTCTTCTTTATCCCTAAGCTACTCTTATATACCAACTGTCTATTTAATCCTTTCATTAGTTTCTAGTCCACATTTCAGAGGAATGTTACCCAGATGTGGAACTCTTAACTCTAAACCACCTTCTGGACTTCCAGCCAATTTTTAGCTGGGTCACTCTTCGTGAATCAGGTGCATATTCTGATCTAAAGCAGTACCATTAGCAAAAGAAATCACCAACACTGTGAAAAGACAACCCACTAGCGGGAAAAAATTATAGCTAACTGACCCTCAGACAAAGGACTGCTATCTAGAACATACAAATAATTGAAAAAAAAATCAGACCCCCCCCCAATTCAAAGATCCAACCCAAAAATGGGCCTCTGAGATGACTACACACTTCTCAGATGAAATACAAATGGCAAATAAATATGAAAAACTGCAACATCACTGGTCATTCAAGAAATGCAAGTTAAAAGAACACTGAGGTTCCATTTCACCCCAGAAAGAATGGCTACTATCAAGAAATAAACCATTAAGAAATTCTGCGGGGGCTGTTGGGTTGTTTCCAAGATTTGTAATAGCTAAATATTGACAACAACCCAAATGCCCATCAATTGAGGAATGGATAAAAAAGAGTTAGCTAACATGGTGGTATATACCTGTATTCCCAGCACGGGGGAGACTCAGGCAGGAGGATTATTGTGGGCCTGTCTGAACCATATACGAGACCCTGTATCAAAAAGACAAAAAAAATCGCAGATGCACATATATAAGCATCATAATGTCTCCCTAGTGTGAGAAGCTGCAAGAGTAAATAAGTTCCAAACTGTACAATAGGTATTGTGAAATAGGAAGAAGTTGTTCAAAATACTATCTGATTTTTTGTATGGCAACTATGGCCAGGGAAATGTAAACTACAAGAGGACACTTCCATTCTTGTGTCATTGCAATTTATTTTTCAATATACTGTGTTAATTACATTTGATAATTTGAAACCAGATGTGTCTTTGTTTACATGTATCAGTCTACCACCATTAATCCAATGCTGTTTTACTGCATAAAGGAAATTACTAACTCCTTGCTTGGCCTACAAAACCCTTTATGACCTCACTTCTGCCTACACTTCATACCTCATCTTCTCCGCCTCCCCGGTGCTCTACCACAGTCCAACTTCCTGACCTCCTCTCTCTCGTTTGGCTTCCAGCTCAGTAGAATGAAAATCACACTGAAAACGGGCATGTTTCCTCTCTTAGAGACTCTTGTATTCTGGTTCCCTGGAATACCTGGCACACTAAATATGTTTGAAGGAAATAATTAGCAGTATGCTTGTGTGATGGCTGTTTTCCATTGTCCTCCATCCCAAGTTTATTCTCCACTCTTCCCTCCATTAATGGCCATCTCAAGAGGTGAACCATGAGAGCTTCAACCACGTTCTATTGTGTTACCTGTTTCTATTTAGTTTCAGTAGCAAGAGGCACCTGTGGAGGATTGAAGGCCAGTAGAAGTGAGAGGTAATCAAGGTACTTCTCTCTTCCCAATCCACTTTTTTTAAAAAATAGTTTTAGCAGTAGCTCTGTCCTTCTATGGCCAAAGTTTTTGTTTAACAAGTTTCTCGCTCTTTACCAGCCTTAGTAATAGTTTTCAGATGGTCTGAAGCTAAACAGTCTCACAGGGTATAGAGCCAGGGAAAATGGTAGCTGCTCAATCCAAGAGGCAGAACAGAAGGGCAAATGTTACAGCTTCAATATAAGGCTAAAGGCCTGAAAAAGCCCCCTAGACATCCCCTTGGTGCAAATCTATATTGATAGGGTAAAGAATCTGGAGTGTAATATTTAAAGGCAACAGAAGCAGGGAAAAAACTCCATTCAAAAATAATTGAATAGGGGTGTGTGTGTGTGTGTGTGTGTGTGTGTGTGTGTGTGTATGTATGGGAGCTTCTCCTTTCTTCTGTTCTTTCATTCTGTCCTAGCAGACAGGATGGTACTGTGCTTCAGTTCAAGACGCACAGGCCAATCTTGTCTGGAAACACCCTCCCCCAAAAATGTGCATTACCATTCACTAAGTACTCTCAAGCCAGTCAAGATGCCAATCAAAATTAGCAGTCATAGTCTTTACTGTCGCTGCTGTTGCATACTGGGACCTAGACTGACAGTGTGGCAGGCCAGAGGCTGCCAAGGTCACTGCAGCCGACACTTGGGTTCATGTAACTTACTCAAGGCCACACAGAAAAATGATGGAACCAAGTTTCAAATTAAAAGTGAATTCAGCGGTTATGAGGAGATCAAGACAAACTGTTATCCTAGAGGTCCAAGTACAGGGGACTTAAGAAGAAAGGTACAACAAGGTCCAAGAAAGCAAAGATTCAAAGCAAGAGGAGGACCCGTGAGCATCCCTTAGATATCTCTTTTAAAAATAATTCAAGAAAAGTTCTTCAGTAAAGGCAGATTACAGTGGTTTGAGAATGAATGAAAGGTGGATACAAAAGTGTGAGTTTAGAAAGTTTTTTTTGATAATCTTGAATATGATGGAAAAAGTGTCAGCTAGAAAGTAATAACAATGTGAGATGAGGACATTGTTTAGAGTGTAAATTACCAAAAACCATCTCTTTTATAGTTATAGATTTCCACATACTATACAATATTACCTTCTATTAAACTTAAGTACGCTCATAACAATAAATGTTTCATTATGTGGATCATCAAGCTA